GGTACATGAGACAGATATCCGAGTTATTGATCGTAATGGGAGTTTGAATCTGAGTTTACAACTCCACATCTTTGTACTCATTGGCAATGAAATATAAAGACGAGGTCAATTCTACCTCTATATAAAGAAGAATGCAGTGGGATTGGTAGAAAAATTAGTGTCGTCCAGCACAAGTCTATTTCTATGCTCTTTAACACACGTCGTGGTACGAACAACGATAGGATTTCGACTTACGATACGAGTATGTGGTACGCATTGTACGTCAACGCATTGAGTAGGACTGACCACGCGTCGGCCACGTATGCGTGGCCCCGGAACCGGGACGTTTTATTTAATTTTTTTTATAAAAAACAATATATATATAAGAAGAAGTTTTCTTTAACCCTGAAGTGGCTCCATGAGTATATTTTGGATTCAGTGGGCTATATTAAACTTTAACTGCTATATTCCAGCAAAAATAAAAAAAATGGGCCAAAGTCTTCAGTATTTCACCTACAGTCAGTAGAGACGGCTTTAAAACATTTAGACCTTCATTTTAAATGCAAAATAAAGTATCAATGATCAATGAAATGAGGGTGTTAAGCTTCAGGAAGTCAATTGATACTTACATCCTTTGCAATGCACCTGCATGATGTTTGATGTATTTGCTACAATTACACTTCATGTCCTTCCTTGTAAGGTGCCTTGACTCTTTCGGCGTTAAATGGCCCAGCAGTGACCACACTGCGTCACGGAAACGACTTCTTAATTCCCGATAATGAAGGAAAGTCTTTAATCACAGTGTGTGTGTGAACCTGAAGCGACCTGTGAAACGTCTCTTTGGTTACTAATTGACTTTTACACCCTCATTTTAAACTGCCCCATCTAGCGGCCAACCCACCCCACCAACCGCTTTTTTCTATTAAATTATTTATTTTGTTGTCACCGTGAGAAGCAAAGTGCCAGCGTAGAGCAGGGACATCACAGGCTGCCTGCGCTGCACTTGCAGCGGCGCGTCGCCGGAGACGGAGCGCTTCTTCTCTCTGTGGCCATTAAAGTTTAGCGAGACACGCCGATGACCTGCGAGCATCCTCCGTGGAAACTGTGCTTTTGACTAGCTTAACGAGCGTCAGTTTCCATCTCTTCACACACAGATCATTTGTTGCTGTCATGGCTCCGCTGTCCAACAGTCCGAAGGCTTCGTTCTAAACCCAGCGCGCACTGAAGGATACCCACAGACTCCGAGCATTACAGGTGAATTATCAATGTTGCTGTGTCTGAGGTGATGCGGCTTTTTATATGTGCATGGTAGTCTAATTTTCTTGAATACTCAGGCTTGACATCAACTTACTTTATTGTGTTTTCTCTGGTGTGTCTTTAATTAATATTTCACTCACTCTGTAAGAGTAAAGCCACCATGCCTGCGTGGAAATTAAACCGCATCTATCACATAGGCTGTTTTATGTAAATTAGCTTGATGTAGATCATTCAACCCTTCAGGAAAAGGCTGTTGCACCTGTGGAGGCTACATGTATCAGAGTAAGTGAACTGTATTGGTATTTTTCATTTGAATTTATGACTAATGCTTCTCAAAGAAGCATCACAGGGATTTCAGTGGCTGGCTGCACAAAGACTCCTGCCTGCTTACACATCCAGTCTACACAGCCTCTAGAGCCCAAACACATAATAGGCTACAACGTTGTTATCCTTTTATTAATTCATGGTGTCCAGTTAGAATAGGGGGTTGAATAATGATGTTTCCTTGATAATGTTTCTGCTAGTTTTCCAATGTTTTTTGCAGATATGGACACTGAGTTAATCACCTTTTTTATAATATCCCACATTTATGACACAGAAGAAAGTCAAAAGAATACTTTAAATCTCCATCATTATCAGTGTTAACATCATAATCCTATATCTTTTAATAGAAAGCTGATTTCCTCTCCTCCCTTTGTACATTTCCTGCATCGACATTTCCTGGCAGGGCTTTGTGTAAGAGCAAATTCTCACCTTGTTCCGCCTCACATAATCTTAAGATCATATGACAGTTTTGCAAGGGCTGTTGGTTTATCGCATTGCACGATCCAAGGCAAACTTTCTTCTGATTTGGGTCACTGGTAAGATATTACAGTCAGAGGATAAAATTCAATTAGGCAGCCCTGAAGCAATCTTTACTCACTGCCAGATGGCTTAATACTCTTGGATCCTGCCTCGGTGTCCCTTATTGCTCTAATTGGATTTCCTCGTTTCACACTGTTTATTTGTTTAAAAAATGATTTTTCAAACGTGGCATCATTAATTCAATACTTTCCCAGGCCCTGTCAGATCTTAGCCCACTAGCCACCGCTGTCGAATCATTTCACATCTCGTCCCCCGTGATCGGCGATGTCATAAAATTGAAGAAGACCTCAAAGTAAATTGTTGCATTCCCCATGTGCCGTCGATGGCATGTCGGGATGCTGAAACAGTCTTAGTGGGAGTCTCAGTAATGTGCAATAAATGAAGTGCACACAGCAGCGAGGGCATATTGTCTGTCTGAGTTAATTCCAGCCCTGAGGAGATGGTTTTCCTCTCAATGACATCTAGTTTGATTTCGCAGAGAGACATCGCAGGAGTTTCATTCTCCAAGACAATATGGATGGGAGGCTTGCTTGTTTTTAGAGGCTTGTTGTCAGACTAAAAGTGTGTACACTTAGAGAGAAATCAAAATGCTGAGGAGTGAGTGAGTCTCAAAGCAGATAATTTTCTCTGTTATCATTTTCTGTCACCGCCAGGCTTTTCAAGCAAATCAAACATGCACAATTGCTAACATTCCTGTAAAGATGGCTCACTTATATTAACAACAAACAGTAATTACAAATAACAAACATTTTAGCTCGTGAGTGGAATATTCCTGGAGATGTCTTTTTGCCCTATTTATAGCATTAATGTGTGGTGCTATCAACCCCCCTGAAAGAAACCTTTCTGAATGACATAAAAGAAGAAAGCAAGATAGAGGTCACATTCCTACATTTTAACCGCCACACTTTGTGTTATTGAATTGTTGCCATTAAAATCTATCTGAATAACAGTATCCTATTATACAAGGTAGAGCTAAAATGTTACTCGTGGCTCAGGTTGTGTCAAGACTTATAGGCCTTATCCACTCTGCTGGGTAATGAATAGGACAATCATTTATGAGTCATAAGCCAATGGGATGGTGAGCATCATTGAACCATGAACTAACAGCCAGGATGACTCTGCTTGATTAATCATTGGTGCTGCACCTCAGTGGTCAGATAGGGTATGTTCAATAACCCGAGATGTAAACAGGACACAACTGGTCCCTGACGGAGGGAATTATGTCTACAGTGACCATAATGACTGAACCTGCTCCCGCTGGCAAACACCGAGGCTAATACTGAGTTGATTCTCACTAGTGCAGCAAGCCAGGGCAACATTTAAATGTCAGTTAGAAGTGGAAATATCGTCAAAGCTGAAGAGTAATAGCACAAAACCTGTCAGCTATTTGAAATGCACGACATCCCTTATTAGCCATTTAAGGTAGATCATTATATTTGTTCCTCTTGCAGGGTTGAATCCCAAGGTAACATATGGAGTAATTGCTGTTTACTGTGTGCAGAACATCCAGCTGTACAGCGTTGTAAAGCCAGCATAGGGATATTTGAGGAAAAAGGAGAAATACATTTAAATGTTTGGCAGAGTCAGGTCATATTCTGATGATTGTCTTGTCACTTTGACAGCTGATGTGATTACCTCTGCCTATAAACTGGAACTGGATTGTGTGCCAGCGCTCATGCAGGTTTAACATCCCGCGTATAGCTACAGACAGGGACGGTGCCCTATATTATATCTGAAATGACAACATTGCCTGGAGAGAAGGATCTGATATTAACACGTGTGTTTTGGTGGAATTGGCTTTCTCTCCCTTGTTCTTTCGGGTGGAAAGATATTAATAATTCCTTTTTTTATTATTTAAATGTATTTTTCAAACACAATATAGAACTCTCCCCCATTTCTAGAAATTGGTTTGCACACTTGATGAAAGTGCAACGTAAGAACATGAGCAGAAAGCATTATTATGACATTTTAGTATTTTATTTATGAATTTTAATTGGGCTATGTATGAATAAATATAGAGCTGGAAGAAGTATTCGGATTATTTACTTAAGTAGCAGTAATAAAGTGTAAAATACTCTGCTACAAGTCTGGCATGAATACTATTTACTTGAGTATTAATTCAATTAAATTCAATTCAAAGGGGCTTTATTGGCATGAAAGTTAAATTAAACAATGTTGCCAAAGCATTACAATACAAAATAATTAACAACATTAACATACATTTCAAATGTTTACATATTATTGATGATATATATATACAGTGATACAATTACATATTATTATCAAAATGTACATTGTACATATTTTCCAAAATGAACATGATTCATTATGCAATATGGCCCATTTAAACACCATGTATCACATTTGTATTATACTTATTGATGCATTAACGTGTTCATCACTTCATTGCTTACTACTTAGTGGCTTAACCTTTAATAATAAATGATAGTGTATTAGTTGATTTATATTTTTTATCAATAACATAAATCTGCCAAAATGTTTGCCAACAAAGTGTATTGGAGTATAAGCATAGTAGCATGAAATTTAAATGCTCAAGTAAAGTACAAGTACCTAAATGTACTTAGTTACATTCCCCCACTGAACAGATATTCCCTTGTTTCAATAAATCATTCATAGACAAAGAAACAAACAGTATGATATCCTATCTGTTAGTCCTTTTCTCAACAAACTTATAAAAACATAAAGACCAACACACATTCAGTGCATTAGAAAGGACTGTCAACTCCCGGCACAAATATAGAGCAGATAGAAATCTATTGTCTTTAAGGGTGTTTTACAGCAGGACCCCAAACAGTTACATTGTGTCTTTAAACAAAAATCATGCTAAAAGCAAAAGTTGTACAATCAGGAAAAGTCACCAGTGAATGGGCGATAAGAGTAGCGACTTGGCTTGGAAACCGGAAAGTAGCCAGTTCCAGAACAACCTAGTGCCTATGAGCAAGGCACCATCCCATACACTGCGGCCTGCTGTACATAATAGCTGCCAATTGTCCCCAATACCATAAATTCCTCTGTGAGATGAATAAAGGCTTTCTGACAAAACATTCCGAATGATGTTGTTGGATGTTGTCGACCTGAAACCCCAGACAGAATTGTAAATCTAAAATTGAGTTTTGGTGATGCAATTTTGAATTTCATGGAAACAATAGGAGCTTTCTCAGAGTTTCCAGCGCTGAACTTCCTGCTGTTTCACATGTCAGGCTTGAGGTTTGAACAAAAAATGTTCACATCTCTGGTCCAAGTGCTGACTGACCGCAGCTGGCAAGCTCAACGAAGGATTATAAACTCATTTCGTAAAACTGTTCTATCACTTGATCATTAAAATGTGAGGATACGAGCACAGATGTTTCAGCAGTACAAATATTTAAGGACTGTGTTTTACTCCACGGGCATGTAGTTTATTTGCCAGTTCTCTAACACACACATGCAGAACATCGTTCCTCTCAGCTCTTCTGCTTATATCATTAATTATTCATCAATGAAAGAAACAACATTAGATTACAATGTAGCACAACAGCAGCACTAAGTGGAGGTCTTGCTTTTTACTGAATATATCATAACGTTTATTTAACCCCGGGAGGCTTTCTGTTAAAAACTAAAACTGTTTTTGGACAAGTCATTAAAGTGCTGCATGTTGTTGCAATTTAAATCAACAACAACTAGACTGAATTTATTAATCGTTCTAATGTATATTTCTTTTTTAATTGGCCCCTTTTCAGCTGGACTCACATGCCACTTTAGTACTTCATGTCACTAATGCCGTGGACCATGCAGAGCCCTTTCAGTTGCAGAACAGATAGGAGAACCACATGACCACAGTTCTGTGGGGTAATGGAAAATGTGACTGTTCTTCAAGACAAAAATATACAGCTAAGTGTTTGTTTTCCAGAGATAATTGTTTGGAGCTGACAAGTGTTCATTTAAGTGTTTTTTTTCCACTTGCTGAGCTGATTTTTTTTGCTCTGAAGTGGGTGTTCAAAATGTGTCAGAAGTGTGAACAAACTCAGTGATGTTAGCTTACATAAACTTTGGTATGTTCATAATGATGGACATTTGGGTCACACTTGTGCAGCGTTTATGATTGTTTTGTGAAAACAGCGTTTCTACATCAGGTTATGATACTAAAAGAGACTTTATAAACCCATACTTGCAGATAATTCCATATTATGTGCCCATTACACTCAAATTAATACTCATAAGTTGTTTGATAGCCCATAGCTCAAGCTTCTGCCATATGCTGCAGAAATGTGTAGATACTGCGTTGTATCTTAGTGTCAGTTCGTAGTTGTGTATTTCTTACAGCCAGCTTGGCAAGTATTCAAGATAGAGCAGTGAAGCAAACAAAGTGAATTCTCTGCAGGGCTGTAGGGCAAAGATAGATCCATGACCTTTAACGTAATGGCTTATATGCAAAGCTATTAATGTAAGAAAGTTTGCAATCACTTGAACCTGAGGAGTGGTCAGAAAAAGTATACACATGACGCCTTGGAAATGTTTGTCAGTAGGTAGCCTACTTTACTTAAAAGGACATATTTGTGTTTCATTCTGGGCACAAGTCCACTGAATAAATAAGACATTCAGAAATGATGAGATATATATACAAAAATAGCATAATGATGTTAAATGTAGTTGTAGCACAATTTCATCTGCAAGAAAAAATGAATATTAAATTACTCTGCACTTTCTATATATTTGTCTCACTGTCAACAAATGCCATGAAAAGACCCAAACCATCAAGGTCTGCGTCTCACTGTTATTCAATTTCTCTACACTGTGTGTGGCACTCAGCCCAGAGCCCATTAATAACTGCTCAATGGTAAAAAAAATATAGTAGTTTCCATTCTCAAGAAGGCTCTTTATTTTCCTCACAGCAGACACAGTAGTTTTTAGAATAAGTAACTGAGGCAGAATTAAAGAGTGCATTTGTAGAGGACTATTTTCAGCCATGGATTAATACACATTTACCGCTGAAGTTATTATTTACAGCAGAAGAGAAACATATTATATTGTACGTGTGTCACTGAGTGCAGCCTAAGTTACAGCTTATTACTGTCACTAAGGAAAAATATGGCACGGTCAGTAGGCTACTACTGTTAGCTCTCCCTTTGACTTAGTAAGATCAAGCACAAGGAGATAGTTAAGCTAATAGCTAGCTAGCTTGTTTGCTTAGCATGTTTTATGTCCAAATTAGCCCCTTAATAAGAATTTCATCCCTTGTACTAAGGCAAGAGCTGTAAAGAAGATGTTCCCACAGGAGACCTTTTAATATGAATTTGACACTTATGTGCTAAGCGAAAGACTTAGAGTCATAAGATGGAGCAGTTACACCATTGTTTTGACCACCATTCGTTAACAGATGGGAGTGTTAATCAAACATAGTAGAGGCTCAAAATCATCATATGTAAATAGGTTACTGGGTTATTGGATAATTCAAAGTTACTTATTGTGCAAACTCTTGAAATGTGCAGCAAACGGTGGTAGAGAGAACAGAAGCCGTGTTTGTGTTGATCTACTGCATAGCCAAGCAGGATTGGTTTGAAAGAAGTTACGTGAGAAGGCAGATGGGTAAACTTGATCTATAATTAATCCGGATATTACAGCTGAGACTAAAACCAACTACTTAGGGTAGCTTAAGTGTGGAAAATATTCAAATTATTGTACATTGTATTGTATTGTATGGCACTTTACAGCATGTGCATTGCTAATTGACAGAGGGCATAATTATGGTTCACCTCCAATAATTATCCTAAATCTGGCAATACTGATTAAATTCACTATTGAGGATACATGAAGAAACTGTATGGCTTATCAATGTGTTTTTTAACATCAGTGGACACTGTATGGATCACAAGAATTTAGCTTAACCAGTCTTTTGATACACTTGTTAGTGTGTTCCATTTGTGGCTGGTTTTGATGTTTTCATGGAATTTGTCAGCAGTGGGAGAAATATAGTACTGTCGGTAGCCTGGGCCTTAGATTCTGTGGTGCTGTGGCTAGTTTGCGCCCAGTTGACAACCAGCCCGAGGGCCTTGCAGCAGCAGCAACAACAGCAGCAGCAGCAGCAGTGTCAGTGCGACAGCCAGTAACAGCTGTTAAGGTGGAGAGGTGAGGCTGAGAAAAGCTAAATGAGGTCCTTTTACTAATGAGGCATGGGCTCATCTCTCTCTCTCTCTCTCTTTCTCTCTCTCTCTCTCTCACTTTCTCCCTCTCTCAGCTGCAGTAGCGTTATCGGTATGCACCTCGTTCTGCTTTCCCTGCTTTCCACAGCAGTTCCAAGGATTCTGCCTCAAACATAGCAATTCAGCTAAAACACAACACAAACAGCATGCCGGTGTGCCAGCAGTCAATTTGAGCTCACTCTCCCCTCAGAATAGATCAGAATTCATGAATAAGAAATTGCATGACTTTAAACATATAGCAAGTGTTTGGCTGCGTAGTTGGAGCTGGATAGAATTAATGCGGGCGGTTTCCCCAGCATTATCTCCGCTCTGTATTAACACACCTTATTTGCTCACGGCTAATTTAATGCTAAGTTGCTTTTCCCCTCCTGTTTAGGGCTCCCAATTGCTCAGTCTGAAATTGAGTTTGACAAATGAATCAATATGGTGAACTATTCTTAATCAAGCTCGGGCAGGACTTTACAGTTAATTGTTGAGTCAGTCAATACGGGGTAATCTCGCCTTCCCTCAAAATAAGCTATATGTCAACACGACTGCAGCCCTTTAAACACGGCTCAGAGATGACACTGAGCAGTTGGTGAGAAGGAAATGAATGCAAGTAGGCCACCGAACGCAGCAAAGCATCATAGCAGGCACTGGATTTTCAAGACGTCGCAGCAAATCAAGTTAAGCAAGAGACACACAACAAACACAGTGACTGCAGCTTTTTAAAATGTGCAGTCTCTGCAACGTCTGCAGTTGATCCCGGGTTTCACTCGACTTGAGCTGATGTTTATTGACTCCATGCAGTTCTGAAAACTTTAAAGAAAGTGACGTGCTTTTATTTCTGATTAAACCAAACCAATGACACGTTTTTTTTACAACACTTAGTAAAATATCCTGCTTTATTTTGACAATGCAATGGGTACTTCTGTCAGCAAGATTCTTCTTTCCAATCAATAGATTTCTGCTTTTGTACAGTTGACTGTGACTCGTTTTTCTTAAAAAGCAGACATTGATCCCGATGCTTTGTTCCATGAGAGGAGCACAGGCTTAAGAGTGTTGGATTCAGGTCTTTCTTTGGCCATTTTGCCTCTTACTTTGTCACTGCTGCGAGTGATTGATGCAGGGAAGTGTTACAGTATGAAGCAGTATTGATTTCCGAACACAACCCTATGAATGCTCCCTGTCCTGATGATCCAATCCACTGATTCTACAGACTTGCATCACACTCAGGGAGAGTCGGGCTCTGATGTAGTTTGAATGTATTTCACTGTTGTAGAATCTAAATGAAACAGAGCCTACACCTGGGATGAGAAGTGACAGAACGCTGAGCGCATAACCCCAGTTTAATTTTCTCTTTCCAGATGGACTGGCTCACACCTGAGATGTGAAGCGTGTTATGTGAGCCAAGGTGTTTTCCCACCTCGCTGGTGGTGGGGAGAGATGTTGCACTCCGTTGTCATGACAGCAGAAGTTCTCTTTGTTCTGGGGTTCCTGATGTGTGGCATCCAGTGCAATCCTATAGCGGCGAGCCGAGAACGTCTGGAAAAAGTGTTGACCCAAGCTAGGCAGGACAAACCTCAGGACGAGCAGACCCCCGAGGAGCCGCTTGGATACGACGCTCAGAAACAGATCAATGCTTTGGGCCCCAACAGGACTGCCCTCAGGACGAACCCCGGCTCCCAAGGATCTAAGGGTGGGAAGCCCCTGGAGCTGTGGACAGAGCAGGACAGCCTGAACCAAATAGACGAGGGCCCCACAAGCGACGTCACCCTCTCTTTGGACTCCATCGACGAGTACGCCTACCCAGACTACCGGGGGAAAGGCTGCATGGACGAGAGCGGCTTCGTGTTTGCCATTGGTGAGCAGTTCACCCCAGGCCCTTCCACGTGCCCCTGCCTCTGCACGGACGAGGGCCCTATGTGCACCAAGCCAGAATGTCCCAAGGTTCACCCTCGCTGCATTAAAGTGGACACTAGCCAATGCTGCCCGCTGTGCAAGGAGAAAAAAAACTACTGTGAGTTTCGGGGCAAGATCTACACCTCGCTGCAGGAATTTAAGGTGAGCCAATTAACTGCATTCACTCTTTTTTGACGTGCGGAAACTTGAAACAAGTGCTGACGGAACACTCTGTTCAATGTAGTTTATCACAGGCAATACACAGAGAGGAGTTACCTTGCCTCACAGCATGCGAGCGAGCAGGCAGGCAGCTTTATAATGGCAAAGGTCAGCACTTGTTGTTTTTTTTCCTCACACAGCGCCTGAATATATCCGCTGGCTGAATTTGGCATTGTATGTTTTGGCAGAGTGTTTCTATATTCGCTTTGTTGCAAACACCTGATACAGTTACAGTAATGTTACAACTCTGTGTGTGGGTGCTTGTGAAGAGACACAGAGATACACCAGCAAGATCTTTTTAGTGTTTTATCTTCTGACAACTCTTTGAAAGGCTCGACTCAGGATTGCACCACAGTGCTGGTGCTACGTCTGCGATTAGCGGCGCCTAATGCCTCTCTTTCTGTTGTGAAGTGTCTCAGCGGGGGCTTAAGGCTAGGGATTTTCCTCCAACTAACGGGCGGCATTACCACCAGCTCAATGTCAAGTTTCTGCTGGGGGAAAGTCACAGAAAGCTCTACTTTCAAGTCATACGTCAGCCTTTGTGCTGTGCTGTGGGGTGTGGAGGTGGAGGTGGGGTAGCTTTGCAACAAAGCAACAGGCAGGTTTTTTTATGGTTGATTGCTAAGTTCTTGCGTATTGTACTAAGTGCTGCCTCACTCCATTTTTCACAGTGGAGTGCCATGCGGAGGCGCAGGCCTCTGCAATCTGTGGCAACGCTGGCTGAATTAACCTTTACTCTCTGGATAAGATTAAAGGTGTATGCTTTATACGAGCGGCTGCTAAATGAAGCCTTCCATAGGGAGTGTGGTCCACTTCTTAGAACAAAAAGGTATACTAGCAGCTTTTGACCCGCATTTGTTCTATTTCAAGACATACAGGACAGTTGAAGAACCCTTACCGGAACTACTGTTTCTGTTCACGCACCAAGAAAATTGGAAGCATCTTTCTTTTGTTTCCCCATTACTATTGATTTCTCTATATACCCTGATTGGATAGTGAAGTTCAACTCTCGACTTGGCTCTATTCAGAACGAGGCATTCATTGGCCATAAAGTTTAGAAGGATGAGACTTTCCTATAGCTTTGTGACATGATGTATTAAACAAGCCAGACAGGCAGGAATGTGTGTGTGTGTGTGTGTGTGTGTGTGTGTGTGTGTGTGTGTGTGTGTGTGTGTGTGTGTGTGTGTGTGTGTGTGTGTGTGTGTACACGTGTGTGTCAGGGAGACAGAGCTAGTAGAAGCAGTGAGACACAGAGACAAACAAAAGAGCCGGAGACAAATATAAGGAGAACTTAATTAAGGCTCACACACACTGTTGTCTGTCTGCCTGTGTATTTGTGTATTTATGAGGGTTTTAATGACTATTTCTCTATGCAGGTGTCTCCATGTGAGAAGTGCCGATGTGAGCCAAGTGGGGAGGTGCTGTGCTCGGTGGCAGCCTGCCCTCAGACGGAGTGTGTGGACCCGGAGTACGAGCCGGAACAGTGCTGTCCCATCTGCAAGACTGGTGAGCATGGAGAGCGTTTCTTCCAACAACACTGCAGTAAATGCTTTATTCCAGTAAAGTAACCAGTGTGCTAGCGGGGGCTGCTGAGTAGCTCGACTCAGAGAAAACTAATGTCAAATGTGTTTTGCTCAGGGGCACCTCAACAGGAGTGATAAGGGAGAAGTATGAAGTAGTCTTGATTTTTGCTGACGCGAAGCATGCACTATGCTGCACTGCAGTGTTTGCAGGGTCTTGCCATAACAGATTGCGTAATATTAATGACTTTTTTTGTCACACCCACAAAATAATAAATGTTTTTGTGTAAAACATTTTGAAATAATTTCTTATAATTACTCAGTTTATCTGATGGAGTCAGTATGTTCCAAATCCCTCCCACTGTCTGGTACACAGATGTGTGGTCCGTTTGCTTTTTTCGCTGCTCGGGTTGTGAGTTTATGATCCTGTTGGTTTGAAAGCTTTGGCCTGTCTGTGGCTCAGAGTCGATTATCTGAAGTTGTTTCGGATGATTCCAGACAGCATGTCCTAGATTATGTCCCCTTGTTTGCTTGGTGTGACTCTAATGCAACATGGCAATGTCAGCAACATTGCTTCCTTCAGCAAAAAGAATGATGACTTGCGATATGTATCTCTGAGCTGGAATCTTAAAGTGGCACGGGCTGTACCGTAAACAAGAGCAAGCACTCTGCATAAAGACTTAATCCCTGGGATAAAGACAAGCTGCGTACAGTACGTTCCACATTTTAAAAATGCAATAAAGAAGACTGAGCGTTTACACATTAAGTATTGAACATAAGAAAAAATAAAACAAGTTTTCCTCAAAAGAGACAAAATATATAAAGACAACAATTAAGCTAGAAGAAAACAAACAGTCCACAAAACGCCTTGATCAGCATGTACCACCAACTAAGAATATCACATTAAGACAATTCCTTTATCACTGTAGATATAAGCATTTGCTTGTAATGAACTTTTGTTATTAATCCAAGGTTTTCACACTCAATTAAAAGTATATATTTATATCTACAGCCTCTGGAGACCATGAGTAAAAGCATTTGTAGTCCTGAAGCGTTACTCACTCTATTAATATGTGCCTGTTGTAATCTTTGGGAATACATGATGGTTCTTTGTTCCCATTTTTTTTTTTTGCTGTTCACCCACTTTTTAGATATGCACATATTGATCATGCTGACAGTGCTTTTAGCGTTTGGGCAGCGCTCCATATTTCCCTCCTAGCCGGTGGATTCCCTGGTTTCCATTCGAAGGCTACATCAGTTGGTGGGGGGGCCGATGTAGATGCAATACAGTATGTGCATACAGTAGATGTGGCAGAATAGGAGAGCATGCATCTGAATTTAAGAGTCCCACAAAATCCATGGGTTCATTCAGTCGATACGGATTTTCAGTTTTAGGATGGCATCAGCCCCCTATTAGCATAAGATTAGCACACATTACCATTGGATACACTGAGCTCTCTGTGTTTAAGACACCAGGTTACCTGAGCACAACTAATACTGTCACAGTCTGAATAAGAAATGCTTTCAGAGTCAAAGTGGCGCTGCACTCATTTTACACATTGAGACCAGTTTACTCATCACTAGGAGTATTACTCAGCCTGTTGTATAATTTGTGTTGTGGCTCTGGAGGAGCTTACTGAACCTGCACTATAAACTGTAGGAGTGAAATATGTGGGCTTTAAAACCAGGCAGACAGTGTTTCATTCAGTTGTGAGGTGGATCTGAAAGTATTGTAACACCTACTGTAGATTTCAGTGTTTCTTTTCAAATATATCCTCAATGTTCCTCAACACAGGAGTCTCAGGAGTGATTTAACCAGAAGGCAATGTGAGGGGGGGATTTCATCTGCCTTATTAGCGAAATGTATGCCTCTTGTTAACCTGCCAGACCTCTCTTCATCTCCCCCAGCAGAGAGAGTGCATGCGCAGAGGGGATGTTTCGTTAAAGTGTTAGTATAGCATGCCCATGATCCTTTATCTGACTGCTGGAAGAATGTCCTCGACCATGGCTTTGAAACAGCCTGAATGTGCTGTGCATGAATAAATCTGTGTAGAGGCCCGTCTTTTTTTAATTCTCTCCTTGGATCTAGAAATATTGTCTAGACTCTACTGGTTTGAACTGTATCTTTATTTTATAGCCCTCAGTCGGAATTATTACATCTTTGTTTTTAATACTCAGTTTGTTGAGGCGGATTGCTCTAAATACTACAATACCCATGGGCCTTGTTCCCTTTTTCTACGTAGAAATAACCAGTTAGAGGCTTTGTTGTTAAATGTAATAACAAAACGTGGCACTGTAGTTGCTGAAATAATTCAAATAATATGGCCACTGAACTCAATAGTGAATGCATTTAAGCTCCAGATTGAACGTTTCTTGCACACATGCACTTTGGGAGTTGCAGTTAACTTCTCTCTCAAGTTGTTTTGGTAGACAGGTTTTACCTTGGATTTTTGCATAAGTTGTTCCTCTTCTGTATTGTTTTTCAACCCGGACAGTGTCATATCAGAACAGGCAAACTGTCAGTCACCTAAAATAGTCCACAGTAAACATCTTCTCAACTCGCATTTTTATTGGTTTTCCATTTGCAAAAATTCTGAACCAATCAAACCAATCGAACCAAGCATAGCTGATTTTTGAATTATAAAACACTACAAACCCCTGATTGGTAGAAGTGAACAGAAAATGCCGCACAACGGTTCATCTTGCAGACACCCGCCATTTTTAAATAGCTAAACTATTGTCCACAGCAACTGAAGGCTTAGCAATACCACATTTGTATATACTTGACCCAGATTAAACAAAATATCAGTCTGCAAAACAACTGACTACATTACCTAGACTAGGCAATACACAGGACAAATCCAGGAGTCGATGTGATTGGCGGAAGAACAGTTCCAGCAGGTGTTCAAGATCATGTTGATTCAGTTTCATGAGGCGTCGCTCTGTTGATCAGCTGAGAATCAGTCCTACACTGCACTACAAGTACAAAACGAAATAGAATAAAGGACCTGGTACCATGAGTGAACTGTTTTTTTGTATTTTCTTTATTTACAACAAAGATATTAAAAAACAATTGCCATATAAAAAAGATAACTGAAACTTTGCACACACCAGTGTCCACAGTTTATTTTTAAGTTCAAAACGATTTGATTTGATTTATGAATGTCACTTCAAATAAAGGAATCTGTATTTTCAATCCCAATTTACAAATCGTGTATCTGTCCAAAACTCCTTTGAATGCTCACAGTGAACACATTTTTTAAAGATTGCTTCTCTATCCTAGTCGATCCATGCAGTGAAAATAATTATCTGAAAATGTTTATGCTCTTTTTTTTTGCCAAAACAATATCGAGCACAGCTATCCAACTTTGCTACTGAATGAAAACACCTTTAATAGTATTATACATCGCCCATGCACCTGTATGACACTTTGCTAAAATTAGAACCCTGTACCTACATCACCATGTCGGATCGCTCACACACTCTTTAAGAGTAATCTGCAGGAACACAGTGGTATTTATGAAGATGTGGAAATAGCCTTTGGCAGCATGTACGCCTCATTTACTCAGCATTCAGAATACAGGGTTTTTAAAGCAGCAGTAGGTGAGATTTGCAGGTTAAAAATAAACATATTTCTATGGTTGGTGCCAATCATTAAGACTTCCTTTCTCGTATCCAGGCCTCCTGCTGGTGTTTTCATATTTTCGGGTTAGCTTTGATTATCAGAGCTGCTAATTAAACAGAATCGTTAAGCAGTGTGTGTTTAACAGCCTCTTATTGGACAGGGAGTGTTTCTGGCTCTGATTTGATAAACAAGGGCTGGTTAGATTTTTAGCTTGTAAACAGGAAGTGTATACACTCTCCGCAATCGCCAAACATCTTAGTAAGTGTCAAACTCAGCTCACTGCTGGTCACCTTCCACAGGATTTAATGGAGGTCTCTGTGCGGATATAATCCATCGAAAACATGTCGCTTGGAGCACTTCATTGTCACATGCTTTCATTTTCATTGGCAGTTAATTTCACGCTAGACTTGACACCTTAAAGTAAACATAATAAACAACGTGTTAAAAAAATTAACCGCACAGGGGATATCTTATTAAATAATTGGATGATACATTATACAGAAGTAAATGAGACATCACTCTAACCTAGTGATCTTCCTTCAGCTCGTATCAATATCAAAACGATCACACATCGGATTTCACTTTGTCTTTTATTCATGACACTTCCTCGCTAGGTATTACAGACGCCCTGGTTTAAATGATGAGGCTCAATGATTGTCATCCCCCTTCTCGTCCCCGTTGATCATACAGCGCTCGATACGAGAAAGCGCCTCAGTGGTACCTGCGTGATGAAATACTGACGGTGTTAAATAAGGTTACTGGAGGTCGTCTGAGAGTTCTTCGCTGAGGTGGTGTTGTTTGTCTTGTGTGCAGATGTTGTTTGAAACATGGACAGATGTTAAGACCTCCCAGGAACCCTGATGCACCTGAAGTGTCACATCAAAGCTGAGCTCATTAATGGGAAATAATGAATTCATTCAAATGAGTAAGGACACTGGAAAAAGGAAGAACACGATGTTTAGGAGCATAAAACATGTAAAAAGCACAGAAAATGAGAGGAAATTGAAGTAAGGTGGAAGATAGAGTTTAATAAAGAGGAAATTAGTCAAATTCAATTTCTCATTCAACAAAGTAGGTCCTTTTTTACCCTCATTCCCTCTCCTGTTTACCATTTCCCTCCATATTGATATACATCACAATGAAAGGTTTCAATGTTTGATCAAATCATCAAATATGGACGAGTATTATCGCAGCCTTTTCAGGCATGCAAAATCAATGCCGATGGTAGAGCACCCTGTCTCAGATGTGTCATTCAGCCTGTATATGAGGAGACACTCGAGGAAGAGCCAGGGGAGGAAGATGAAAGTGAGCGGTATCGCTAACATCCACCCCAGACAGTTGTTCATGAATATCAAAGAACA